CTGTGTGGACTCTCAGGTGGGCTATACAGGCTCTCAGGGGGGCTATGAGATCTCTCAGGGGGGCTATGTGCACTCCCAAGTGAGCTAAGCGGACTCTCAGGTGGGCTATGCACATTTTCGGGTGGGCTATGCGGGCTTTCAGGTGGGCTATGCACATTCTCAGGTGGGCCATGCAGACTTTCATGTGGGCTATGCGGGCTCTCAGGTCGGCTCTGCGCACTCTCATGTGGCTGTGCCAACTCTCAGGTGGGCTATGCGCACTCTCAGGTGGGCTATGCTGGCTTTCAGGTGGTGTTGTGCGGTCTCAGGTGGGCTATGCAGGCTGATAGGAGTGCTGTGAGGGCTGTGCGGTGTCCGACTAGGGGTCTGGAGGGGGGCAGCGTGGTGTCAGGAAGACGAAGGAGAAGATGGGTGGACCTGGGCCTGTTTACAGGCGCCCGTGGCTCGCAGGAAAGCTGCCGAGGTCCCCAGCAAGCTCCTCAGGCAGCCACTTCTGTTTAACAATTATCGGTACAGTATCGGCACTTAGTATCTTGTGTCTGGGTGTCAGCTGGCGTTAAACCTGGACAAAGGACTGTCCGGGTGAATCCCGGACAGGTGGCAACCCTAGCCTGGAGTTCAGCTGATCCAAACTCCAACCGAGCGCCCAGTAGTCAGACCTGAGTACCTTGGCTTGGTGATGGGGGGTGTATGCATAGTTCTGTGTAAGCTTTGGCATCCTCAGCAAGTTAGAACATACCCGGGAATCTCAGTTGGTCTGGTGGCAGGGGGGCACGGGGCAGTACACCCTGCATATGGTCCTTGCTCACAAAAGTGCCCTTTCTCTTCCTAGTAGGGGCAAAATACAGGTTCACAGGAAAGCAGTTAATAATAAAAATAATAGGAAAATGTCAGAAAGGCCACATTTATACCTCATACAAAAACAACTGGAACCTTTCCATTTCTTCCATGACTCAATATCTGAAAGGAATTCAACACAATTTGACAATGTGTTAATTGCTGTCTGTACTTTCCTGTCCTCGAGACACCCTCAATGCCCATGACTTGTACGGGTGTCACCGGCAAAGCAAATCTCCCTAATGAGGTCACTGACAGAAATAAAAACCTGATGATAAATGTAATACTTTTCTGTAATGTAATTCTTCAAAACTGATTTTTTTTCCCTGAACAATAATGAGCCTTCTGTTTCAATCCAAAACTAAAAAAAAAAAATGGATGGAGTTGGGCTTTAAAGTGGACCTTTAAATCACATCAGTATACAGCTCTGCATGCTTGTTTGAAATAACTTTACATTCATTAGTTAAACATATTTTTATTTTACTTACAATTTCTTGTTTTTCCACTCCCTGGTCCCTTCTGGCATTAGTGGTGTAATCTGTGCCCACGCATTGCATTCTGGGAAGGTTACATCAGCAGAGGATTGCTGGGAAATCTCATCTGTAATCTCACGAGATCTCAGGGAAAGGCATTTTCCTCCCCTGAGATGATGTGCATGGTCACATGTCCTAGTCACATGTGCCAGAGTTTCAGGAAGTAAAGGGAGATCTAGTAAGATGCCCTTAGCAAAAATGGCCACCATGAGAAGAATGGGGAGGAGAAGCAAAATAAGGTATGCAAAGAATAAAAACCCGGCAATTATCTAGAAGTATCTGTTTGTAGATTGTCATTACTAACAGGGTTATTCACAATGGAGCCGAAGGATCTAGCCATAGCTTCAGCTGATCCTTCAGCTCTCTTTGGCCGACGGAGCCCATCAGTTCAGTCGAACCGAAGGGCTGCTGTACGGGCTATTCACAATAGCCCGTGCAGCAGCCAAAGGCGGCCGAGTGGCTCAGCCAAGCCGAAGGCAAATGACAGCTGGGTGGAAGCCCTGCAAATGACAGTTGGGTTGTAATGACAGATCAGCGTCCCCAAATGACCTGGGGACGCTGATCTGTCATTAAACAATACCGAATGGGCGGAGCCAGCTGTGACGTTACAGCCGGCTCCACCCAGTTGTTGTTCATTGGCCGAGACCTGCTAGAAGAGTCTTCTAATAGGCCAGCCAATAGGAAACAGTTGGGTGGAGCTAGGTGTCACTGTTAGCTCGGCCCAATTTTTTTTTTTTAAATATCTATTTATTTTTTACTTTTACTATTTGTTTATATTTTTAAATTATTTTTTCAACCTTTTTTTTTTTTTTTACTCTTTTCACTGATTTTCTGTTCTGCTCGGTTCCTCGGAGGTACCGAGCAAAACAGCCTTGCCTTCTGCACTTCGGCTCAACCAAGCATGCAGAGCATGTTCGGCTAACTGAAGTGCAGCCGATGTTCGGCTGAAATCAGCCATACAAGCCAGGAGTGAATAGCCGAACAGCATTCTGCTCACTTCACTTCGGCTCGGTTATTCACTCGGCTGCCTTCGGCTGCTTTGTGATTAAACCCCTAAATATTTCTAAAGGTGTCTTTGCTGTCATTTCATAGATATGGGTAAAGTTCCTCTCTAAGAGCAGATTCAATCAGAGTGAATGTTCTCTATAACTTAGCAGTTACAATGTAGCATTATCAGTTCACTGATTGGATACAATGATGAAAAGTGTTCCTGGCATTCAAATATTTTACACTGTTCTCTGTGACATCCTGCAGGAAATCTACCCCCCGGATTTTACTGTATGTTTGAAGACGGCAGCTGCGGGTGGACGCTGGACCCTCACACGTCACTGTGGCGGATCGGGAATCTGGAGGACTCTGAAGGTAATAGGTCATTTACAGGTATTGCGTTGAAGGCAGGGCGGGGTTTTATGCCATTTTTTTGTTTGATTTGTTTTGATTTTTTAGGTTTTATTTAAATAAACTCTTGATTTAATCAACTTACTACTAGAGCAATTTTTTGTTTATTTTTGCACACACATATATACTAAAATCTGAATTTTTGGATAGAAAATTACTTTAACCTCTTGCCGTCCGCCCGTTAAGAAAAAACGGACGGACGGCAGACTCGCATCAGCGGGTCGCTGTCGCCAGACGGCATTTTTTTCCTGCTCGCACGCACGGGCAGGAAAGACCCGCTCGTTACTACAGCCGTTAACGGCTGTTTCACATACAACCGATCAGCGGCTCTATAGCCACCGATTGGTTGTATGGCGTGAATTTCGGAGCCCACCCCCCAATCGCAGTGCCGCCATCTCCCCCCTCCTGACCCCTCACCTTTAATCCCGGGATCCGCTAACCCCTGATGTCACCCCTGCCCTCCAATACAGATCAATCACAGGAATGGGTAAGAATTAGAATGGAATGGTTAAGGATTAGAACTCCCATCTGGTTTTTACTCCCCTCTGGGGCTCCATCTGAGAAATGTACTCACTTCCTGTCCTGCTGACAACAGTAAAATCAGACAGGAAGTGAAAGAAAACCTGCAATAGGGACACAGACAGAAATAAAAAAGATTATCGGGGTTCCAGACTTCCCATATTCTACTAAAAAAAATAAACAAACATTTTTTGCTGCTGTTGAAGAGTTCTTTTCCCCTTCCTGTCAAGTAAAACATTGTCACCAAGACAGGAAATAGGTAGAAATATTTCTAGCAGGGTCCCATAGAGCAGTAAAAACCTGACAGAGCTTGCAATGTCTCCCCACTCTATCTATAAACTTTAGAAAAAAGTGTTTGGCTTTTAATACACTTTAACAAATAAATATTTATTACAGGGTGTGTATCTTTTCAAACCATGGTAGGCTTTCTATAAGCAAGCCCAGCACTAGTTTTGCTCTTTTTGCCAGATTGTTTTAATCCACCAAACTGGTTACCGTATTATGTTGCACTACAGCTCTGTAGGGACATGGTAGGGACAGAGTGGCCAGCGGATGGAGCCACAGTGGGGGACACAGGCATCCAACACAGTGTTAAATGGTGAAGATACATTGGCCAATGTAAGGGAGCTAAGATCAGAGTCACTTCTGGAGCCTTCTGGACTGATAAGTATTATTACTCTTATTATGCAGGATTGCTTTTCTTTGCAAAAAGGTCTCTTTAAATCCACATTTTGCTATTGTTTGCTAAATCCAGAGGACCATCTAATGAGATTCTGAATGCGTCCACGTTGTATGCTCTGGATATAATCAGTGTCACATTATCTCTGTTATCTCCGCAGATTCTGTGCTTGTCCTGAATACCAGAAACTCTCCGGTGTTGCAGAGTTCCGTCATGACCAACGTGCTGTATCCATCTCCCCTGAAGAACTCCACCTGCGAGGCAAGTGACAACATGTTGGAAAAGTATTACTAAAGTGAAGCAGTCTGACCAGTGGCGTCACAAGGGGGGTTGTGGGGGGTGACACTATTGGAGGGGTGACACCAAAATGACTGAGAGTCATTTTGGTGTCACCTCCTCTGAAAAGTCAGGCACTCGGTCATGGATCTAATCATACATTCCTGTGCATTTCATGCACACTACCACACACTACCACACAGGGCTAGGCGCATTGCACTGCCAATCATTTGAATGGCACCCCAGTGCACTGCCCATTGTAGAAGATATAAAGCCAGTGCATGTACTGCGTTTTTCTCACTGCAATGCACAGCCATTGACAGGTGAGTGGGGTGCGATTCAAGTGAATAGCAGTGCAACACACCTAGCACTTGGTACTGCACACAGGGGCATCCCGAGGCCGGGTGTCACCCGCTCCCCGCCATGACATCATTGCACATGCACGTGACTGCACCACACACGTGTGCGATGGAGTCATCGTGCATGCGCGGCCATCTTGGTGAAACCTTCCAGCCATCTTGCTGGCAGAGAGAAGAGGGGATGTTTATGGCATACCTTATCCTGCCGGGTCCCCTCCTCTCTCCTGCAACTGTCGGACTCTCGGTCCATGACTGAGTGCCTGACTTTTCAGAGGGGGTGACAGTGTCAGTCATTTTGGTGTCAACCCTCCATTGATGTCACCCCAAGCACACCCCTGGTGACGCCACTGCTGCATACTAAGTGTGTTGTGCGATAGAGTACATTAAAAGCAAGATAACATGCGAATAGCGCAGAGCTCCAGTGTGAGTGGGCCCTTGTTGTCCAGTCCCATGCAGGGGGCAGGGAAGGGGGTGACCCGGCTGTATTGCTTAACTGAAGCAGAGAAAAGTCTGGTCACCAACTTAGCCCTGCAGTCTGGTTGTCTGGAGTTCAGCTGTATAAGGCCAACCATAACCAAAAATTTGGAATTCTCAGTGGGAGCTTTGGGGTGTCTTATATCTCAGGAACATTTCCTGGCAGAGGACCGACGCCACCATTTAGCATATAAGAAGCCGCCCGTTCCAAATCCAAACTAAAACATCAGCTTTGGGAAGAGTGAAGTTGGCCATCAATGTGTAAATCTGATCAATTTCAGTTCCCACCCAATTGTCCATTGACTGTGTGAACTTCAAGACTGGATTAGTGCAATGGACCCTAATGGAGACAGTGAATACCGATGAGTCGTCACTCTGCTCTCTCCTCCTGTCCACCAGTGACGTGCGGTACCTCTTGTTCCGGGTGAGGCATTCCCCAGCACGCCCCGCCGGATGAAGCCCCGCCCCCAACCCGTCCCCAAGCTAGTGTAAAGGAGGAAGGGCGGAACCTCCCTGTCCCTCACTTGCTCCTCACTGCTGAGGCGCTCCATCCATGAATGGTAACACAGCAGAGAGGATTTCTCGCTGTGTAACCTGTTAGATGCCGATCTGAATGGAGAAAAAGCTGTCAGCTTCAGACTTGAAGCTGACAGCTTTTCCCTCCATTATTCTAGGTGAGGCTCTGCCTCCCCTGACCGCACGTCCCTGCTGTCCACGTGTTCCTTGTGAGCCAATAATAGTACACTTGATTGAATGCTGCGGCCCTCCCTTTGTCGCTGTACAGGAAGGAGTCCAGTTCCAGTTCTTAGCCTTGCCACAGCAATTTCATGAGGATTTACTGGTTACATAACTATATTTTTATATCTGCCACGACTTCTATTTCTCACCTTTTAAAACATCTCATCTCTCTTATTTTTTTTCCGTCTGCACTTCCTTTAAATAAAAATTGACAACGCACGTACAGCTCTAATTTGTTCTAGAAATAAACCGCAGGTAGCTGCGGCTATGAATAATATATAAAGTACAACCGGCTGTATAGAAAACAGCGGCAACAAGGTTTTACATATAAAAAAAAAAGAGCACTTTAATAATTAAATTTCCCCACAAGGGGCTCATTTGTTCCATTGAAAAGATCTCAAATACGCTGCGATCGTGTTCCCCGTGAAACGCTCATTCTCGCTGCCCTCGTTGTTTCATCAGCTTCTCGTGTACCTGTAATTAAACGCGGGCCGGCACGATATTTTTAGCGCTCCCTTCGGAATCGTGTAATGTAAATATTAGCGGATGAGCGGAAAACACAATTCACGAGTTCTCCTAAATAATTGGTGTATGGCGGTAGCTTTAATGGCGCTGATCGGCGTTGTGAGGTGCCTAGGTGGTCAGCCATCCAGCAGCAAGGGGCGGGATGGTGGGTGGGCGGAGCTGGGAATATGACTTCTGAGATCTTTCTATTGGGGTTCCCAAGATATGTAACTGACGTGTGAGTCATTCAATCTGCAAACATCACTTGTGGTTTGGTGACGACTTCAAAGTGATATTAAAGTCAAAAGGTTTTTAATCTAAATGCTGATAAAATCTGATGGGGGCAACTAAGGTAAGGGAGCACTCTGATGGGGGCAACTAAGGTAAGGGAGCACTCTGATGGGGTCAACTAATGTAAGGGAGCACTCTGATGGGGGCAACAAAGGTAAGGGAGCACTCTGATGGGGGCAACTAAGGTAAGGGAGCACTCTGATGGGGCCAACTAATGTAAGAGAGCACTCTGATGGGGACACCTAATGTAAAGGGGCACTCTTATGGGGACAACTAATGTAAGGGAGCACTCTGATGAGGACAGCTAATGTATGGGAGCACTCTGATAGGGACAACTAATGTAAGGGAGCACTCTGATGGGGACACCTAATGTAAAGGGGCACTCTTATGGGGACAACTAATGTAAAGGGGCACTCTGATGGTAACAACTAATGTAAGGGGGCACTCTGATGGGGACAACTAATGTAAGCAAGCACTCTGATGGAAACAACTAATGTAAGGGAGCACTCTGATGGGGGCAACTAATGTGAAGGAGCACTCTGATGGGGGCAACTAATGTGAAGGAGCACTCTGATGGGGGCAACAAATGTAAGGGGGCACTCTGATGGGGACAACTAATGTAAGGGGGCACTCTGATGGGGACAACTAATGTAAAGGGGCACTCTGGTGAGGACAACTAATGTAAGGGAGTAAGGGAGCACTCTGATGGGGAGAACTAATGTAAGGGAGCACTTTGAAGGGGAGAACTAATGTAAGGGAGCACTCTGATGGGGTCAACTAATCATGGACCCACCAATAACATTATTTAACAGGTCTGCAATTCCATGAAGGCAAGTCCTGATTGCAGCTCAAGTAGAAGAGTCCTTGGTGGGCTAGGATGGAGAGGTAGACAGGAGGAACCACTGAGTGCAGCTGGGGAACCAGGAAATTGACAATCCCAGAAGTGTTGGTTTCCAAAGAGAGAGCTTCAATTTCTTTTCAGCAGCATGAGAAGAGAGAATTAACTTTCTTTTCCCCAGGGGGCACTTTTATCACCAGTTTTAAGGTGGATGTTTGATAACTGTGCGGACAAACAGTCAATGAGACGGTAAGATGTGTGATTGGAGGTTAGATAGTAACAACATTATCTTTGTTTGTGCAAAGGATTAACGTTGCTCAAATCAAGATAAATGACATACTATTAGTATAATGATAAAATTAGATAAAAGAAAAGAACGGTAAAATGGAAGATTTTTATCCATTTGAAATGTCAACGTGCAAAGATCTCCCTCTAGAATCATGGATGATTGTTCATATGCCAACATTAACAATTTGGCAATTATGGAGATACTTTTGTGCTCCTTTGGCTTAAGCAGGACGTGAAGGTGTATTAATCATCTGTTTAAGTCTTTCAATGAGCCATATTGGGAGAAAGTAAATATTCTAAAACATTTATGCTAGATAGACATGAAGCAGGTACACTCAGGGCAGCCATCAGGGGGGTACGGCCGATACTCATGTAAGGGGCCCAGGCAGCCTGGGGGGCCCGCCCGGGTCCCTTATATGACTATCAGCCGACGGTGAAGGGCGAGGAGGCGGAGGCCTGGCCCTAGCAGCACAGGGCCCCAGCATTGCCGCTCCAGCGACTTTGAGACAAGCTAGGGCCCCATCAGCGACGCTGCTCGTCTGATGTCGGACTAGCCGGAAGTGATGTCAATTCTGTCCGGTCCGGCGCCAGACGAGGCCATATGTGCAGGTAAGAGGAGCTAGGAAGGAAGGAAAGGAGGGAGGGGAGGGATGCAGCCCTGACCAGCCCACCTGAGACCCCTTCAGAGCCCACCATAGACATTCTAAGATGGGCTGTGCAGCATCTATGGTGGGCTCTGCAGGGTCACTCTCAGGTGGGTCCTGTGTCCAGCGCGTCACTAAGCCCTGCGTCCAGCGGTGCAGGGGAGGGCCCCGCCTAAAGCCGTGTAAGGGGCCCCAAAATTTCTGATGGCTGCCCTGGGTACACTATATGGTCAAACATTTGTGGACATCTGACCATCACACTTATAACAGCTTGTTGGACATCCCATTCCAAAACAATGGGCATTAATATGGAGTTCCCCTCCTCCTTTGTGGCTGTAACAGCCCCCATTCCTGTGGGAAATCTTTTCACATGATTTTGGAGTGTGTCTAAGGGAAATTGTTCCCATTCAGCAAAAATAAATTTGTGAGGTCAGATACTGATGTTGGATGAGAAGATCTGGCTTGTAGTCAGTGCTCCAGTTCATTTCAAAGGTGTTCAGTATTGTTTAGGTCAGGGTTCTGTGCAGGACACTCAAGTTCCCCCACATCAAACTCATCAAACCATGTCTTTATGGAGCAGGCTTTGTGCACAGGGACACAGTCATGTTAGATCGGAAAGGGCCTTCACCAAATTGTTACCACAAGGCAGTGGAGGTGCAAAACTGTCTAAAATATCATTGCATGCTGTAGCATTACCAGTACCAATAACTTGAAACACCTGAACACACATATTGTTGGCCATCTTGTGTAGGCATGATGGAAATGTGTCCACAAACATTTGGCCATATAGTATATCAAGGGTTAGGAACCTCCATTACATTTGACCATATAGTCTATCAAGGGTTGGAACCTCCATTACATTTGGCCGTATAGTCTATCAAGGGTTGGGGCCTCTGTTGCATTTAACCATATAGTCTATCAAGGGTTGGAACCTCCATTACATTTGGCCATATAGTCTATCAAGGGTTCAGGCCTCCGTTACATTTGGTCATAAAGTCTATCACGAGTTGGGGGCCTCCATTGTTAAATGCTGGGCCATACAAGAATTGCACTCCTTATTTGTACACATCTGGTAATTATTGGGTCTGTTTAGACTTAAATATAGAGTCATTGAGGGCCCCTTATGGTCTAAGATAGCAGAGCGGGGTGAACTTCTGTAATGCAACTTCAGAGAATCTCAGTAGGGGGATCATTGGGGAACACTTGTTAAGATCCGTTATTGGCCATTAGAAAATGGGGAATGTTTAAAAACAATTGCTGGTGCTAAATAAAACATCTGTTGTAAAAAATAAAGGACACAGCCTATTAAGACTTTGAAGAATAGGAAATCAAAATGCTGGGTGAATCGGAACAAATGTGATTCTATCAGATAAAGGCAGAGGTGATTCCAACCAGTGAATGTGACAAATGCTGCAACAGGCTGAGAAAGCAGCAAATGATTGGTTGTGGAAATAAACAGTCAGAGTCTCCAAAGTACTTTGGATAACATGGCACCCACTGGAAAGTACATACCCAACATTAGTTATTATAAAAAGGTACTTAATAACTTTTTTTTGTTGTGAAATGAGTGGGGAGATGTTAGAAGCCTTTCAGGTTTATTTCCCAGTCTGTGTCCTGGTGGGGAGAATATAATTTCTGTCCCAAAG